TCACCTTGTGGTCCCACCCCCCAGGAACCACACTGTCACCCTGTGGTCCCCACCAGGGGGCATACGGTCACACACTTGGGACAGGACTTCTCTCTTTGGAACACCAGCCCACCCAAGGAGCCTCACAAAGGTGGGGTCATGACCCGGGTTTCCAGAGACAGCCCCCCCTAGTGGCACCTCGCCCCGGGAGGGGGCAGCAGGGCGTGGCACACACCGCCAGGACTTACTTGACGAACTTGTCCACGTGTGACATGGAGGTCTCGTAGTTCTTCCCTCCAAACTCCTGGCAGTGCAGGGCCATGAAGTGCGGCTTGTGCGTGTGCACGACCTGTGAAGGGAAGCGCAGGACAGGCCGTTAGTGGCTCTGTGGGTCCGTGCGGCCACCCTACGAGGAAGGTGGCTGCCGGGACCAAAAGCCCCACGTGCACGACCACGGCTTTGAACGGTCTCTAGGAGTCAAACCACCTTCGGGCAGCACTCGTTTCAGCTTCCCACGTCCTCCCGTGGAATTTCTTAGAACCTTCCCCAATCACTGAGAGGACTTCCCCCAGCTGTAAAAAGTCAAACGTGTCAACTGCGGAGCATCCAAGTCCCACAGAAACAAACGAACCAGTTAGCGTCTCACCGCAGACACCTGGCTGCGTCCCCCACAGAGGATATGAGCCCAGCCAGCCCTACACGCTGTCGTGGGCACATGTGCCAGCACGGGGACACGCACACACCCCAGACCTGCCCGGGAGTAAGCAAAGCTGACTGCGCTCAGCGGGGGCCCAGGCTGCCTTGCACACAACGTGCACACGACTGCCTGACGACCCGACACGGCAGGTGCCCAGCACCCGTGTCACCGCAGGGACGGCTGCGGCACACGGTGGTCAGCAGCAGAGGTGGTGTGGCCACGGTGCCGCTGCCCCACTACGGCCGGGGGGGTCCCGGCACTGTCCCCAGGGCTGCCGCAAGCCGCGAACCCTCCCCACGCTTTTGTTCCTTGATGGTACGGGTAAAGTACCCCCAGTGACACGGATTGATGGCCGCAGAGACGCTCTCAGCAGTGTGGTCGCTGTCCAGAGGCTGTCCAGCCATCCCAGGCCCCCACCCAGCACAGGGGTCCTGACAACAACCTCAGTCACAGCTTGGACCCTGATCTCGCCCCCTGCAGTAAACCGCACCAGGCATCTGGGCATGACCCACAGGTGGCTGAGCCTGTGTTGACCAGCACACGCTCGCAGAAAGAACAGGACACTCACTGGCCCCGCTCCCCTAGGGCGCAGGGGACAGCAGATCACTGCTGAGCTGATGAGGCATCCAGGCCACGACAGCTGGGGGCTGCGGCAGGGGCTCGTGGAACCAGAGGGTCGAGGGCAACAGGGCAGAGTGCAGGGGGCATGTCCCCACGTCCTCAGCTGCCCATCACGCTAACTGCACTTGGCCGTGGTGGCCACGATGCTCTTTCTGGTCCTGCGCTCCTCCCCTCTCCCAGGCACTTGCCAGAAACCCACATGATGACCTTCCCCATCCCCAAATACACCATCCCAGGGCAGGCCCCCCATTCAGTGCTCTGTCACCTGGAACCCAGCCTCAGGCACCGTTTCCTGCCCGTGCCTGGCGGCCAGCGAGCCATCAGCGGCCTCAGAGGGACGGGCCACTGTGTGCAGCCCGATGGAAAGTGGCCACTTCTAGGAAGTGCCAGAGGGCTGGCCACGGACAGACAAGCTGGCCACGGAGAGCCAGGCCCGCAGGCCATGCCCCATGAGACAAGTGACCTGACCACGGCCAGGAAGTGCCCCGCGGCCACAGCGGCCCCTCACCGGGTGGCCGGCGCATACGTGGCCTGCATGGAGATGTGAACACACGATCAGGAACTCGGGATGCGTTCTTAAAAAGGAACACAATTCTGACCAGGAAAAGCACGGACGGCATGCGCGAAAAGCGTCAGTACCTGATGCCAGCTGTTTGAGTGAGCTGCTCCTTGCGTGCATGTTGTTCTTGGAGAACCGGGCTACCACAAGCCCACTAGGGCGGCCCATCTGCCATTAAACACAGTCATGGAACATTCCCTCCCCCGACCCCACCCCTCAGTGCTTGGGGCTGGCAGGGACACAGGACGGGCCCTCGGGTGCTGCACGCGAGGCCGGTGGCACAGTGAGCCCCGTCCGGAAGGACGCCTCTCATGTGCACCGAACTCAGGAATGCCCAAGTGACCGGGAAGCCAACCCGCCCCACAGCCCGCTTGGCAGCTGCCCCCACAGGGCACCTTTCTCGGCTTCTCCAGAGGACGGTGTGCCTCACCGAGGAAGAATGACCACGATACCAACCCTGGGAATACAGCCTGGCGGGCACCGGCGTAGGCTCCCCTAGGCACTCGGCGGGAAGGGACAGCCCCGACCTCTTGGCCCCGGGGGCCGCCCTGCACGGCGCACTTCCCCTTAGCGGCAGGCTCAAGCATCCTTCCCAAAGGGCCAGCCTGTCCGCACCAGCTGTGCCTGAAGCAACAGAGTTCTCCGTTCTCAGAGTTCTGACTGCGTCTGCCACCGTCCCTCGACACACAGCTCTATGTTTGCCGTGGCGTGCCCGCATGGCGGAAGGCTGGGTCGGGTCCCAGAATGCAGACGGGGGCCTCAGGGCTGGCCTGGACAAAAGGGTCCGACGGGGACCCCGGCAACCCAGCAGAGTGCCCAGCCTGGAGACAGCAGCCCCCACCTGGTCCCTATCACCCCGAACCCAAAAGGGGAGATGGCTGGAGGCGCCAGGGGCTCTGGACACGTCCCTCGGTGGGCACTTGCTCTGAAAGACACCCTTGGGACGAACTCAAGCAGCAGGTACTTCGGGGGGTGTCGAGTGAGAGCACAGAGGGCGTTCCTCTGGGCCCCGGCCCCTGCCAGTCTGCACCTTTGCCCGCAGCAGCCCCTGCCCTTCCAGCTCGAGCCTCTGTTGCAAGGACACGCCATGGGGTCGTGCTCTCTGAAGATCACAGTTAGCCAAGTCCTTGGCGCAGACCCAGGGCTCTGACAAGGAAACGTGCCTTCCCTTCCTTTGAAACCCACAGGCCACCTCCCTCCAGAAGGCCTCACTCGCCAGCTGGGACAGAGGTTTTGAAAGGTGCCCGACACGGGGCAGTCCCCTCCCCAGCGCGGGCTGGACGAAGTGACGACCCAGAGTGGCTGAGGGGGGTGGGGCGTGGAAGGCCACTGCCACCGCCCTGGCTGTGCCTCCCCCGGCCCCTCACCCTGGCCTGAGGACGCTCGCTCCCAAGGAGCCAGGCCCGAGTCCCTGCCCCAGAAACCATCTGTCTGTCCGTCTGTCCTCCCAACCATCCTCCTCCTCAAGCTGGGCCCTCCTCTCCCTAACCCTGCCGCTCCGGGCAGGGTCTGGCCACTTGACTTGCCTTCCCAGGGAGTCCCCTCTCTGCAGAAGCAGCCACCCTGCAGCCGGTCCAGGCCCAGCACCTCTTCGAGGGGCCAGGGCCTCAAATCCTCAGTCACCTCCTTATCCGGGAAACAGTTACGCTGTGGATGAGACGTGTCCAGAAGGCCCAGGTCCTGGTCCCTCTTCCTCACCATTGGGTGCCGCAGCCCCAAATTCACAAGCGTGAGGGACATACAGGGGATCGGTGAATGGGGTCGGTGACACAGGCCCATGAGCAGACGCGGGCCTTCCGGCCTCTGTCACAGGACCTCTGAGCCTACCCTGGAGCTCCGCAGCCTGAAGCACGCGGCCGGCCACACCCGCTATCCCTTGGCCTCCTGTTCTGCCACTTCCTTCAGGGTCCTCGACCCACACATCCGCCCCTTAGTTTTCTGGGCCCACACACCTGTCTCACTTCTCAAGGAGGTGCTGCCGGTCCAGAGCCCTGCCCCATGTCCGGTCCCATGCCACGCCCCATGCCACGGCCCCGCCCCTTGCCCTGTCCCAAGCCTCAGGGCCTTGCCCCGCCCCCACCCTGCCCGCCACCTCAGGGCCCTGCCGCACAGCCCCGCCCATGCCCCGCCCCCACCCTGCCCGCCACCTCAGGGCCTTGCCGCAGGCCCGGCCCCACCCTGTCCCAGGCCTCAAGGGGCCCACCCCATGCCCATGCCGTCCCGCAGCCACAGCACACACTAGGTGCTGTGGTTCACATGGATTCAAGTTCCTGAACTGCCCTCAGGCACAACAGCCGCACCCTGACAGCTGCACTTCTAAGGGAGGAAAGACCTACATTCAATACATTTTGTGCAGAAAACCATGATTTTCCAGGTTAAATTTACCATATTTGAAACTAAATTTTAACTGATAAGTTTAAAAAAACAGCCAAATAAAGTGAGTGATATTTCTTTATCTCTGCGACGCCGCTGACCTCCACGTGCTCAACGCAGCGACCGGAACGGCACTTTCCGGACAGGAGCACGAGCGTGCTCTGACCGCAGGCGCCGCTCCACGTCTCTGCAGCCGGCACCCCACTTTCACCGCCAGGAAGGGTGAGACGAAGAGGACCAGGACTGAAGCATCGGCGGGCACTCACCCGCGTGCGGTGGCCCCTCCACGTGGAGAAATGTGTGTCCGAGTCCTGAATGCACACTCAGCTGCCAACGAAAGGTCGCACTAGTCTACACCAGGGCAGCCTGGACTCCCCCAAAACCCTCGCGTCCAACAGACACACACTTAGAGGCCGAGGGCAGCGCCCAATTGGCCGGTGGGGGGTGGCACCTGGGACACACCCGGCCCCGGACTCAGCCTCCTCACGGGGCACAGGGTGGGCTGGGGAGGCAGGGGCAAAGCGGGCGCCACAACGGGGCTCATGCACAGACGCCCGCCAGGGTGACCACGCACGGAGCAGCGTGGCCCCCCAGGAACCTGGCCCACCTGAGGACGGTCAGGGGTTCCCCGACTCGCCCCGCAGCCATTGCCTGGCTTCACATGGTGGCCCTTACCTCCACCCCAGCAGCTGCCCACGCCTCCAGAGGCAGTTCCTCTTGGAGATGGGCCCTGTGGTGTCACCAAGAAGGCCCCCCACACCCTGCGAGACTCTAGGCCCGCCTGCCCGGGAGGATTCCATGACACCTGCCCGGCCCTGGACACACAGGCCACACGTTAGGACTGGCCAGGCCCCCAGGTGCTGCCACCAACACAGGCTCTTGCAAATTCCAAAGCTACGCACAGAGAGCGCACACCGTCCCTGCCCTCAGGGGACATTACGCAGAAGCGCGGCATAACAGATACAAGGTCACGTGTCATTGGAAAGCTGAGTTATTAAATGACAAGACCTTTACCACGCAAAGTGTCAGGAGACACATAACGGACAGTCACACGAGGAGCCCGGCGTGGATCCACAACACACGCTCCGCTGCCGTGGGCTGTGCCACGGCCACACACAGGCTCCCCTACACAGACTGGAGACTAACGTGCAGCCACGTTGGCGGAGCTGGCGATGAGAGGCCTCGCCCGGCGCTCAGGTGCACGTGAGCCACCGCAGGACTCCGAGCAGGAGGAGCCTGATGGGCCACCTGGGCCGCAGGGTCGACTCCCGCACAGGAGCCGCCACACCCTCGACAGCACAAACCCATCCAGGACACGCGGTTACTGCCTAAAATGGACGGAAACAAAATACGTCTGTATCCGTGGCTTCGTGGGGACACGAAACAACCCACACGTTGGCCACCTTGGACTCCGGACTGCTCCTGGAAGTGGTGACTGCAGACACAAAGGGAGCGTCTGCCCTGCCTCTGGCGCACCGGCCACGTCTCTGGAGAAGCGGACACCCCACCAGCAGAGCAGGGACAAATGACAGGGCTGGATCGGTGGCTGGACCACGAGGGCACTCGCTAAGTGGGAGGAGAGGGGCAGACACAGCACGGCCTCAGGGGCTGCACGGATGCGCGGTCCTGGCTCCTGGCGGCCAGAGCCTGGCAGCGTGTCCCACACTTGCAGCCGCTTGGGGGGGCCCAGCACAGGGCCGGGGTGAGGCCCGGAAGGTGGGGCCTGAAAGGAGAGAGCACGCAGCAAGGAGGGGACCGCAGGGCGTGTGCCGCGGCAGGACAGACGCATCTGGACGGGACTTGTGGGGAAGAAAGGGGACAGAGAGGAGGAAGGCAGCCTTGGGCAGCTGG